ATCAACGCCCTTTAGCACGTGAAGGACATTCTTACGGCTTTATCTAAAACTGCGAACATGTGTGACCTTCGCGCGGAGATCTTTGGTCATCTTGTTTACTACTTTCAATCCAATCATCACTTTTGTTCCTTTTATTGCGTGCATGCTATTCTGATTGGATTCTTGCTGTTTATCATTCTTGCCTTAAAAGTCTTTCCTCATGTCCACAAGCTTAAGGACAATCACTTTAAGGCGCCCTCTGAACAGGGTCGGTCCTATCGTGTACTTCAAAATTTTACGACTCCCCTCCCTCGACGAGAATTTCATACATCACCCCACTTCAACTATTTTTCCCCTCAAAAACAACCGTCGAGCGGGGGAGTGGGTCCATAACCTATACATGAAAACCGGCAAAACTTTCTTCTCTATATTTCCATTCATTTTCCCCCATTCCCCTATATATTTCACCTCTATTTTTCCATCGCTACATATTCTAAAGGGGGGAGGGGGGCAACGGCAAATTTTCTCCAGCGCGCCCTCATCTCATCACATAATTCGTGCTACCTGGCGTACGACCCTCCCTCCAAGTCCATCCATGACGTACCCCCCCGGCACTGTAACTACGTAGGGTTACCCTGCCTCTGAACTACTTTGGTTAGTTGTCTTGACCAGGCGACCCTACATTCCCTCCCTTTTCATGTTCTTCTGTTCGGCCTGCACGGTAAAGAATGCGACTAGCTTTGAAGTCGCTGATTCTTTCTTCTACTACGTCCTCATCAGATCAAGTGTAAGCTCGGCGGCCTAGTCGGCAATCGGCCTAAACATCCCCTACCTTGATCTCGACAAGTGTTCAAGCTGGATGGTATGTAGTCACATTCAATATTTGCAAGATTTTCAGGACATTATTTCAATGCGCGTCGTTTTCTCCATTGTTTTTTTAATCGAAGCGTTAAAAGTTACGCGAGTGGATAATGTGCATTGCACTTTTGTCTACGCCCTCCGTCAGCAATTATCATTAGGATGATATGATCGGATTTTAACGAGCCGTAGTTCATGCATGTTGTGTTTGTTATTCGCGCCACACTACTGAACATTTAGCTGGGTCACCGCCGGAACGTGTCGATGTGGTTTTTTCCCGAAACCAGTCGCAATTCTTTGCGACGGATAAACGCCAATAAAATTGAACTTTAATTGCGGCGCCATCCAGCTCATCGCAATTCGCTTCTATCAGGTTATCAGATCCCGCTAGGCGTTTGTACAACTACCACCCTTCACTGAAAAATTCCTGAGAATAGAAGGTGAGACATTCATTTCACATATAGCGCTGTCACCAAAGGGTGGGTTTTTCACCCCCTGAAAATGAGTTTATTTATGTGCATAAAGAAATTCTACATACTTCCAATAAGAAATCGTATTCTTGGAAGTTATTCTAAGCCTTTGGTTGCTGGCTATCCGAGTTACGGTGAGGTTCCCGAAGGCTCCCAAACAGGGTCAGTCCTATCGTTGCTACTTTTCGAAAAGTTTTTACGACCCCCCTCCTTCAGGAAAAGTTTCCTACGACCCCCCCCCCTTTCCGACCAATTTTTACCCCAAAAAATTACCGTCGAGCGGGGAGGGGTATATACTTCCCTTAAAAACCGCAAAAATTCCCTACAATTTCCTCACTCCATTTCCTATTTTTCCCATATCTTCACACATGCTGATGCTCCATTTTCTAGAAAGGGGGGTATATACTGAAACGGCAAATTTTCTCCCGCGCCGCTCCCCTCTCATCACATGCCACTTCTTACAACCTAAGCAAGTACGACCCCCCCTACAAACTCACCAAAATACGACCCCCCGTTGCTACTTGTAGCAACATAGGGTTGACCTGCGCTCAAACTTCCTACCCGAATTGGCAGGAATTCCAGTAGAGCCGTTCAAACGCCAATCTAGATGGACTTACTGATTAGTTACTGATAGTATGGTAGCGCTACCTCTCAGCTTCTTTACGTAGGCTTGTAGTGACGTGTGATTTCAAAGGTCCAACTTCTTTTGACAATTCTTTGTTGAACAAGCTTTCGGGGTGAACACCTTCGTTTAGTCTTGACTGCACAAGAACCCAGCGCTACGTTAACATACATGGTTTATCATGTGCGAATGGAAATTTTAGCACCTAATTAGTGCTGCGTCGCGACTAGGTGCGAAGTGACCTCAAATCTTGGCACTTAATTAGTGCTGGCTGGCGATTGGGCGCCAGCTATCTGTGGGCGAGACGCGCCGTACATGTCCATAATGGTGCAAAGGATTGGAGAACAGCGATTTTGGAAGCGGCAAAGGAGATTTCAGATAAAATGTGGTTATTAATTTATTATTGCTAGTTTTTAGACTTCTGACTCCTGGGAACAAAACAAAGTGAATTGAAAGGGATGACCGTATCCTAGAATGGTGGCAGACTATCAAAGGTAGCGCAAACCTTTTTTCTGTCTATATGAATAATGTAGGTGTTGCAGGAGTTGTATTTCTTCCGCCAGGTTTGCTTCCCGAAGTCCCAGCCCTGCAGAATCCCCCAGTACCCCGAAATCACGACGCTTATAGGAAGTGTCAAGATTTCCTTGACTACTTTTTTTCAGATTCGACGAAGTTTACCAGGAAGGACCCCACTCCCTTATAAATGACTTCGTAAACTGTAAGAATAATGTCAAAGATAGCAATAACGAATAATCATAAGTTTCCTTATGAGATTGAACATAATTTTGATAGTCTATTTATGTGGTCCTATCACTTGATTTTTCAAACCTAGCTAGAAAGTGTAGTGACTAATAATAATATAATAATAATAAATAATAATAATAATAATTGTAATAATAACAATAGTAATAATAATAAATATGAGCATCAATTCACTTTGTTTTGTTCCCAGGAGTCAGAAGTCTAAAACATCGACGCACGCTAATAGCATACATTATACGAAATTATACGAGAAGAAGATCTAAAAACGAGCAATAATAAATTAATAACCACATTTTATCTGAAATCTCCTTTGCCGCTTCCAAAATCGCTGTTCTCCAATCCTTTGCACCATTATGGACATGTACGGCGCGTCTCGCCCACAGATAGCTGGCGCCCAATCGCCAGCCAGCACTAATTAAGTGCCAAGATTTGAGGTCACTTCGCACCTAGTCGCGACGCAGCACTAATTAGGTGCTAAAATTTCCATTCGCACCACTTGATACACACCCATTACATGCTAATACAAATAACAATGTCCAGTACAAGGAATCCTTCACGGAAAACCCTGATTCATTTCAGCTATAATCACTGGCTAAGGCTCATTACCCCGAACACAGCATGAAAAGAATCAAGAAACCATATGGACTTATGTATTGATAAAAAATCAAGAAAATCGAAAGGTGCTACCGTTCAACGTGCCCATGACGGTCTTTCACAGTAATGCTCCGGTCCGATGGGAATTAGCTCCACTTAGTTCTTGGAGTGCCTCCACTAGAAACTTTTTCAGGCCTCTTAAATTACTACATTCACATCGCACTTGTACCCCAGCTTATTCTATCGATCGATTTATCTCTACTCTCCATACTACTTCTATCTACCTACCCTACTACTACCTAGACTTGTATCGCCAGCTATTCTAATCGATCGATCTTGTTTTACTTCCTCAATTCATCGCACCGTTACTCCGATTGGTCCATCGACTCTCCGAATACGTGCCGCCCAGGCCAACTCTTCATGCCTCGCCTTTGCTCCGCCCTAATTACCTTCGAGACTGTCCATAAGTTATAGCAACTTTGAGGGTTGCTTCTTTGAAGGGTGCATAGGCAAAAATTCTTATCCATCAAAATTCCCTGTTACAAAAGAGAAAGAAGAAGATGAAAAATATCATTATTACTCCGGTCAATTTTATTTTTGCGTATTTCTATTAAATTTATCACAGTACCTATTACTACTATTACTATTGTTATTATTACGAAGTTATTACGTATTATCACAACTGTTTATTATTACTATTGTTGATATTGTTATTGATGTATTTTTACACCGTCATTGGTTGTTGTATTTATTTCAAAATGATTTCTCATTTCTTTCTTTTCTTTTCTTTTCTTCTTTTGGGGATGCCCAAAATCCGTTATCGGCTCCTCAAACTATCCCGTTTAAGTATATAAGCTACGGCGCTCCCAAATAAATAACCAAAAAATGGAAATATAAACAATCTAAAGCAAGTAAGTAAACAAATAAAACAATTAAGTAATATAGTAAAAAAATAGTCCCAAATATAATTAAGTGTAAATAAATAAAGTAAATAAATAAGTGAATAAATGAATAAATAAATAGCTGAAACTTGCTAAATTTGATTGTTGCTCATCGAATTCGAATGCATGGCGTACTCTCGAAGGGTTCATGAACGCCGTACTTTTCGCCTTTTGCATGTCGACCAATAACCAATGTCTATCTTCTCAGCAATACTGATCGTTATCTGCGCATAAATTTCATATCCCACGAGAAAATTGGGTGTGGTCGCATCAATTTCGGCTGTCTGTAGACTCTTCATTGATATTCTTCATTTTTTCATCAAAATTAGAAAAATAACTTTGTAAGAACCTTTCGCAATTCCTGTTGTCCCAGTTCCTGTGACCAAGGCTTCTCCCAATTACGTTGGATACGGTAGCGGTCAAAATCGTTCGCCAGACCAGTTTTCGTGCGTTTCATTTTTCGTCGTAAAAAATTCTCTGGACTAATTTTTATTAATTTGATACACGCATAGATTGTTGTAATTTGAAGAAACGCGGGAAGAAGAAAAAAAACAAAAAATGCAGAAAGGATAAAAAATACAGTATTTGAAGAGAACTAGGGGCGGGGGGTGGAGTGGAACAAAAAGCAGTGCGCGAAAAACCGTTTTGGCGAACTACTGTATGTGTCTTCGACATGCCTCTACTTCAAATTTTATTAGGCGAATCAATTATCGATTTTTCAGCCAACTATCGATTAGCAGTGTGTCATCGTCACTGCCAACTAACGAATCCATCATGATACGTGACAAGGAGTCACCGCCCAAAGGCCTGGTGCAAAAGCGGCGTGAACAGTTCACTAACGCAGCCACAGCTGAGGAGGTACGTCCTGGAATGTTGGCATTATATTTTTGCAAAATATTAGATTTAAGCTTCTTGTTTTATTTTGAGCTTATTGGCTGTAGTTTCAATAGTGTCTCGACAGTTGCGACCGGAGGGGTTCGGCCAGGATGTATGGAGCGGACACATCCTGGCGCAAGTTCTGCTCTCATGTGTGACAAATTCCATGAAGCTGCATAAGTGGTTCCTGCTTTATCATCTTAGCCTCCATTTTTAGTCTCATTGCCAGTGGTTTGCCTAGTGCAGAGGACAGATATAAAAACACAAAACACACTCATTAATCATTGCATGAGGAAGTCTCTAGTTTGACCTGATACACATTCTGAATTATTTGAAACATATCTAACTGCAGGATAAGGATTGTTGGGGGCTATAACAAACGCCATCTTTAATATCTACAGAGCTTAAAGGCACAGCCCAGGCAGAAGTTGGGTAAACGATTCTTTTCGGTTGTAGACGACCCCTAGAGGACAATCACAGATGTGGCATTCCGTGCACGGAAATCCGACAAGAGCGCTAGGGCCTTGCAAAGTAAGCTGCTGCAGCTGCAGATTTTTTCTCTTATCAGGCTGTTGTCTGGCGCTCTCTCATCTGTTGCGCTCTCTCGCCTCATACTCTCCTCTCCGCGCTTAGTCTCTCATTCCTTAGCACAGCCATTAGGAAGGTGAGTGAGCCCTCAACCTAAGCGTTTTCGACGGATTCTTTTCCTTTTTTCTTCACTGCCGGCCCATTTGGCACCAATACATTCGCATTCGTGTGCAAGAACCACACCAATTGATCCTGGGACATGCCTTTAAAAGACTTTCATAGCCGTCACGGGCCTGTTGCCTTTTCAAATGAAAGCAGAATCACGAAGTGGATCGCTGTTGAAGAAAAATGCCCAAGAATTGGTCAAACCATCCTGTGCCTTTTCTACCCTGGGTAGTTTTCCTCGCACTGATTCCTGGGCGGGGGCCGGGGTGCTGAATGAAACCAGCTATGCATCCTTGAGTCTGTGCGCTTCTGAATTGCAGATTTATGCCGAGAGGTCGATACGGCCTGTGTGCTAGCAAACCGCTTTACCTTCCTTTTGCAAGAGCTTTCGTCCACTTAGGTTAGATTATCGAAAAGTGTAGACCCCAAATAAAGCATCCTTTATGGATCAGTTCCTTTTTTGAGAATCCGCCACGCTTCTGCTTCCGTTCAGAATCACAGCAGCATTTGATTGCGAGGCGGCCTAGACAAAGTCATGCTTGGCCAGCTATGTTCAAACTAGTGTTTTTCTTCACGTGCCGATCAGGCTTTGATATCTGGACTGTGGGCGTGACGTTGAGCAGTCACGCCACTTGCCACATCACCACTTCCGCCTGTCACTTTGTTTATGACTCCGAAAAACAGCACCAACCTGTCATTCACATGAATATTAGGACACATTCTTTGGGCGTTTCAACTGTTTCGTGGCGGCTTTTTGCATCAATTTTCAATTTCAACACTGGGAAATGTCATTGTGGCGGGCAGATATAAAATTTTAGAATTCACGGCATTTTAGTGTAAGCGGCATGCACCGGATTCGACGCACAACTTCCCTCTAGTCGCTAATTTAAACATCACAAAGCTGTCCCAATTTTGGAAATTATTATTTCGGTTACGCTCCAATTATCTTCTCGGACTTGATGCTTAACTATCAATTACATAACTTCAGTGAACCTGAGTAACGTACGTAACGAATTTTTGGGACCTTCCAATAAAAGTAATAGTAGCGGCAGAAGTAATAAGCGTGGCTTACTCTTCCTTGAGTACTTTGCGCATCCGACCTCTATTTGTATTCGTTGAAATATTGGAGGACTTGGCCCACACTGCGATTGTCAACGACGTACTGACAATCTTGCGCCATTTTCTATGTAGACTCTCGATTGACCTCGACATGGCAGTGCTTATTCAGTACTATTTGCCGCATCTGCTCGTCGGAAACGCTTTATTGTTACTTTTCAGACCAGGTTGGACCTTTCTTCCAAACCAGAATAAGTTTGAAAACGGTTTGGCGTCCTTAAATCTTCCCTTTTATAACTGTAGACAGCTTGGTGCGATAGCAAATAGGCAAATACCTAACGTTATTAACGCGCAACGGCTTTGTTTTGATTGTCGACCTGTACGTCGGCCGCAGTGCGCTTGCGAAAGTTCCAGAAAGAATGTTGGGTGAAGTGACCACGCCAAAGCGAGTTGGAATGGTAGGCGCTAAGTTACGCGAACTTGCCAGGTAAGCAAGAGGTGCAGATTCAAATCCAGTCGAGGGCGAAGGTTTTGTTCACAACCCAGCATTCTTGTGAAGCTTTCGCAAGGCTTGGGATTTGCTGTCAAAATTAAGCCTTCGCCCGAGAAAATGCAGTGGTACACAAGCAGGAAACATGTACACAACTTTTTCCCAAAGCCACGATCGAATCTCACCCAGGTCAACCAGGCCTTTCACCCATATAGGGTTGTCTGGTACCAGACTTGTCTGGAAGGATAAAAACACTGACTTGTACATCGGCTGGCCCCGCAAGTCATTGTATAGGCCACATCGCATTCAAACGCCACTACGAATGTACAATGGAAGTGGAAATGGAGAACCCAGAAAGGGATTGATCACCATCAAGATCTTATCAATTATTTTCACTTTTATCAGATTTATTAGGCAAGTTAACGATCAGAATCAGAATTCCTCAAAGAGTCGCATTCGACGCCCACGCAAAGGAGCTAGCTTATACATATGGGGTGAACTCCAATATAATAATTCATAGGCACCCCGTTCATTTTTGAAATCCTGACATGAACCGAAACGTCTCAAAGCTTTCTAGGGCGTTAAAGGCAGCGATTACGATAAAGAGGGAGCGCATCGGGGAAGCATATGCACCACACGAATCAGTTACTTGGCTGCCAGGGAAGCGAGGTGTGGCGCTTTCACGACGAAAGGTGCGCTGGTTGCTGAGCAGGACTTCGAAAGCACTCCGCCCCCAAAAGCGATCCGCCCACTAGTTTACTTGGTGATTTGGACGAGCTGCGTTGCCAGCAGCGGCACAACAACTCGACTGGAGCATGGATTGGCATGCTGTCACCAAACGCGTTGCGATGAACTCGTTCATACGTCCGCTTTCTGAGCTGTTACCTGTTCATGAGTGAAAACCAACGGCCAAAAAAGAGGGTCCCGTTTTGCGTTTTCTCCGCTTTTTTCGCCACTAGCGTACCATTGAGCACCACCAGTTTTCTATAAACCCTTCTTGAACCTGTCGTAATCACTGCCTTTACGTTGGAGTGATGCTCGCTACGCATCGCATCATAGTGTTTCTTCTTCTTCGATGGAATCGTTTTGAAGCCCTCAACACTGACTCGGTTCCTGACCGTAGCGGTAGAGCACTAATAGTCGCACTTTCAGAGCAATTTACTAACACGAAAATATCTACAGTAATCGACGACGAAAAATGGAGCACAGAGAAAATGAAGGGGGAGAAAGTTTATTCGGGTAGGTCGAATGCAGCGCTGGGTGGTCGACGACTGAAGAAACTGAAATCAACCTTTGGAACTCCTTTGAGTCTCCTCCGCCAGAATTCCTGCTCAGCTCGTTGACAACATCACCATACTTTTGGCTTAAATCGTGATCATATCACCTGAACCTCCTTTTCTAATGGTGTGATCGGGCCCTCGCTATTGAACCTAACTTCGACCATCTGGTGTGGTTATTTGCAGCTGACTCTTTGAGCGGTCGTGCCTATGTAGGGTATGAAAAACATTGTAGCAATTTATCGATCTCACGCATTCTACAAGTTTTTGTTTTTTTCTGAGTGGAGTTTCAGTGGTGCTTGCCCCAACAACAAATTCATTTCAGTATCGTCCCTTATCATCTCGTTCGGATGGTCCGATTTCGGCTGTCATTTTGAATGCTCAACAGCCAACGCGCTGCACAGAAGAGAATTCGTGAGTTTTGCTTTGATCAGTTTTTGATTTTATTGCATCATCGGCTTTCGCACTATTTTAATGACTGCGAGTTCTCTAAGCCTCGAAACGGCTTCTTTGGCTTTGGATACTCTTGCACTTTTTTCGCCAGTTATCCCTAACCGCGTAAACTGTCAATAACAAAATAAACGAAGTCAAATCAAACTCATAAATCATTTTTCATTTAGCAGCCCAAGACGAAAGGTGCAAATTGATCGGATCCGTTATGATTTTCGAGCACCGGCAGACATTCTTCGACGGAATCCCTGATGATCCCATAGGCGATGAGTGCTGTGAGACGACCACGACCACAGAGCGTCTGAGTCGGCGACAAAGCGAATGTCCGAGTTGTCCCGCAAGTTGGTCTCAATGTTGGGTTTGATGGATTTTGGTGTTCAAGAATATTTTCAAAGTTTTGATCGATCCAAATTCACCTTGTGGCCAGTAGATCCAAATTGCGTTTTTACAGATTTCAGCTGATCTCGCAGTAGATTTTCCAAATTACCTTGTTAAATTTTGTTATACAGCCAATAGCTTTTACCATGCCATTCCTTGGGCGACTTCAATATAAAGTCTTCACTCAATCGATTGCTTTTTTACTCGATAATTCAGCGATCTAGAAGCAAGGGTGCAGTTTTGTGGGGATTTTCAAGTGAAAGATAAGAAAAAGGGTCAGCGTGGGAAGGAATATAAAATTTGCATGGGAATTTAGAATGCAAAATTTTTGTTCTCCAATAGTTGAGTATTCTTTTCTCAGTTCTCTGCCCTCGGCTCCGTTCAATCTGGATTCGGTTTCGAAGGATAGTGTCGACCTTGAGTTACGAAACCTTGCCAAAAACGCAGAAAGCATCGGTGCAGACTATCAAATCAGCCACAATGAGCGAACGTCTTTCACATCCAAATGTTGATATTTTTTGTGGGCAATGCAAAGATTACCTGCTGTTGCAGTTTGTAGTTTAAATTAAACAACTAATCATCCATGCACAAATCAGCTATCATCCAGATTTACTCGAAAAGGTCCGTCACTTATGGTGGCATGTCGCAACGCCCAGCACTTTCATCGCTCTTCGAATGGGAAGTCTGTCCATCTGCGTCAAAAAACTAATAGTAATCAACAGAAATTACTCTGTGTAATCGTTGAATTCGGAGTGGTGGTTGGTAGGACTCTCTATGGTTTTTGGTGGGGAATGGTAATGCTAGAGAGGCATGACCTGCTTGATGACAGTCAATTGACTCTGTTTTTGAACGGGTTCCACGGAAGATGTTACAAAATCGTTTATTCCATTTTATGCATCAAATTCAGCCGTTTCTCTTTTCATAGCTGCAGTGTTCAGCATTCTCCTTAAGTAAGAGTTCGATGTTAAGGTAGCAGCAATTAATGAAGACAATAATGTGCTAGTGTGACTTCAGAAAACGTCTTCAGAATCACTTCCAGGTCGTCGTATGACACAACCGGTTTCACGAACGACCGCTCGTGCCGCGCTCACATTCAGCGCTTCGTGGCTTCCCCGTCGTCACCGTAAGCGTCGCCGATCCATCATCCAGAAGACGTTCGCTCGGCGAGCTTCATCAGCCGGCCGTTGTGCATGTGAGTATCGAATGGTTACGTATAGTACAAGATTGGAGGTACGGCTAGTGGTAAGATATAGGGCAAGGATGACATAGAAGGTCGTTTCGGCTCAATGCGTGCTCCATCCGATCAACCACCCGTCAAACTGCCACTGAGAGGTCTGGGTTATCCTGATGGAGGGATCTTTATACCTCTTCGTATAGGCGACCTTAGCAGCCTCCTCATATGTATGGATGGCCCGCCTTTTCAGCTACTAAACACCCATTGAACACTCGCCAAGGGCAGGCTATCAAGCAGACCGGTAGGGAGGGAGTTGGGGGGACAAATCGTTGAAGATGGTTTTCGAATGAAATTCTGAATTGATTTAAGAACTCTGAGAATTCGACTTTTTATGGAGATCTCAAAAATCTTCCTGTTAAACGCGCTCCCGGATCTAGAAGGTGGAAATGGAATGCTGGAGACATGAATGATGTTGATAGCGATGGATAATTTTGATAAATGGGAGGAGCATTAAGAGCGGAAGAGTGTGGTAGGGTTGGGGATACATATTGAAATACGCCACTTTGCCACCATTCTAGGCCCTGCTTCAATTGAATATTGACAGGCCAACTTTCTGAGGATACGATTCTGTGACGAGTGGAGTTGTGCTCAAGTTCCAATCGGGCGGAGCTCGTACCATAATAGTCCTTCAAAAATGGAAGAGCTTGCTTGGCTGCTCGACCACTTCTTGTTTGAGACTGCTAGGGGCTCAGCAACTTGGGTGTTGTTGAGCAACGTGGAAAAATATGAAGAAACATAGAAAGTGACTGATAAATTGTCGGACAACCCATAATTCCCTAAACCCATAACCATAGTATGAACCATAACCTACTCACGCCATTGCCATTGCATTCCGTACTTCTCCACTTTTCCACAGAGGCGTTGGAAGGAAAGAATATTCCTCTCAATTGATCGAGTCCCTCAAGAAATTTTAAGAAAACATTTGCTCAAGCATGGTACCCTCCCATACTTACTTCTCGACAGCTACGTCCCGGGCGAGCCAGAAACGCACTTCGCACATCTTGCGGCTCTGCTTCGGGCCTTCTCCGCAGTCGGCCGTAGAACTTTACGACAGGGTCAGCCCATTGGGTGGGGGGTCTACTTGGCTCAGTCCCGTTCTTGGGTCAACAATCATCGGTGAGTCTAGCCACATGACCGGCCCACCTCGTGGTACCCTCACTTCTTCCAAAAGGTCACTGATTTTTCTTTTTTCTTTTCTTTCTGATTATTTTCTGAATTCCTAAAATTTCAGGTTCGCGATAGCGACACCGTAGGACCGACTGTGATCCCAGTGACGCGTTCGTCACCCACCACATGCAATCGCCCCGTTTCTCCGTCCAAGAAAAAGTCTTCGCGCCCGAATAGCCGCCATGCCGTTCAAGTGGAACTCTTTGACTCGACATCGCTGACCATCCCTCCTCCAACGGATCGCTTCCCGCTATGATGATGAAACCAACACATCCACCCCGGTTCTTTGGTCTCCATTACGGCGACCAGCAGACGATGCAGAAGAGACGACGAAGTGGCGTGAATCTGACGTCGAGAACGAGATCACGAAGCGAGAACGCGAACTGAACGTCGCAAGAGAGACAATAAAAAAGGTAATAGGATCTGTTTCT